ATATATATATATATATATATTGCAATATGCCGCAAAAAAATATTATTGCCATCTTAACATCCACAACATTGTTGCAAGCAACAATGTTAATGGTTGTCCAAAAATTAAAACTTAAATTGTTTATATATTGGATCACACTAGGAAACTTGGAACAAGTATACAAGTAAAAAAAAAGAAAAAAAAAAGCTGTACGTGGAGTTAACTCGTTGCCCCTTTTTGTTTTCTTACAGCTCCATGAATAAGTCACTAGCTAACTATATCACAATAAAGTTGGGCCATCTCCATTTATCCTAAATCTGTGAAATTTTTTAGCACATTAGAATAAGTCTCAAGCTTTCATAATTTTGAATTTAATCATCTTAAAAAAAAAAAAGTCTTATATTAATGAAGACATTATATGCATATAAATTTATATTTATCTTTTTATTCTAACAATATAATACTTTAATTGTATTTCAATATAAGGATAAAAGAAACCTAGACTCTCTTAAGGATTAATATTCCAACTTGAGTCGGTTGGCATCAAGTGTGAAATTAAGATGTAGGTGGTGATTCCCTCTTGAAGGAAAAAGACATGTATTCATGTATTGGACTTAAAATTGTACTGAATAAGTACCTTAATGAGAGGATGGTGAACATGAAGCTGAGACAAGGATTGTCAGCAAATAAATCTACGTCCTAGATATCCCTGTCGGTGACTCAACCAGCAATTTGTCAAAGGAGTTTTGGACCCATTTCACACACACACGCATCATGTCCAATTGTCCATTTACTTATACTTATCTATATTTCCTTCCTTTGGAGCAAACACAGTGGTTTCCCTTTCCCACTTGATGAGTCTTCCAATGGCAAAGTTCAATTACATTTGCTCGCTGCCCGCAAATAGGGCCGACCCTGTTGTACTTTTGCTGTGTAAGTCAAAAATGCCTACTCTGCACCCTGTTTGCCTTTTGTTTGCTAATAACTTATCAGGACCTTTCCTTTCTTTCTTTTCCCTTTGCACTTCACTATTTCCACCAAAACTTTTCATGCACACTCTTAGGTTATGACTTGTATGCTCCACACAAAGTTACCTCACTCGCAATATGCTACTCATATCTCAATGTTCACGTCTACAAAATATATACACCAAATGACATTTTCATAATATCGGTTAGAATATAACCAAATCTTACATCATTGGTTTAAATTTAGAGAATGTATATGAGATTATAAATATACACAAAGTTTTCATTAATAAAATTTTTTTTTAGTCATAATCAAAAGTAAATTTTTGAAAATTTAAGTTCAAAGTGATCAATACTACACTAATACGAAAATGTGTAAACTCTTAATATACAAGAATAATCCGCTCACACTCTCGCTAGAAAAACATTTCAAAATTTCAATCATATTCCTAAGATATTGTTTAGATATATAAATGTATTATTTGTATTTAGGATATTTCATATCAAGTTTTAATATGTCGATAATTTTCAATTGTTGGGTCTATAAAATTTGTAAGAAGTGATTTCTAAGTTTCATTTACAAAACCAGTAAGAAAGAGTTTTCAAATTTCATCCATAAAACTTGAAAGAAGAATTATATATATATATATA